GGGGGGGGGGGGGGGGGGGGGGAGATCCTTCTTGTTTTCTCCAGCACCTGTAATGGAACATTTGTTCTGCTTCATATTTTTTTTTTTTGCCCTTTTTAAGTTGTAAAATCCAGTTTTCCTAACAATTATGTAAATAAATCTGAAGTTAAAGTGTGAGATGTGCATTTTATGCAAAACAACCTTAATTTTCAATTAATGAATCGTATGCTCATGATTCCATCAACAAAACAGTGGGATAAAACCAAGATTGTTATTCTGCAGCATCACCTTCCTAAAACAATAACAGATGAGCCTAGGGGCTTGTTTATCCAATGGCAGTAGCAACAAACAAAGNTCCTAAAACAATAACAGATGAGCCTAGGGGCTTGTTTATCCAATGGCAGTAGCAACAAATAAAAGGGAAGTGTATACACATGATGTGAAGCCTTAACAGATGGAAAGTAGAGTAATCCTGATTTGTGAAGTGTGCTAAAAATATGCATTCTGTTGCAAAACCTTATCCAATATGATTTTGCATAGATACAGAGAAACTTGGTGAGTATATTTCTGTATGCTCAGCTTTCCTGCTTCAGCAGTTTTAAAATCTTTAGGAAACCCAAAATTCAAGTAAGATAGCCGCCGCCAAAGATTACAATTGTCAATCAAGATTGCCCCTTTTGATCAAAGAACTTGTTGGCACTGGAAGAAACTATAGTGTTTCTAAATAAAAGAAGATCTAGTTGTTTTTTTTTTTTTTGCCATTCCTCCATCTATGTTTTATTCATACACCATTTCCCACTTAGTCCCAGATTCTGCTAAAGCTCAACCAGTTGACCCATAAAACTTTAAAAACTAAAGCTTCCAACCAACTCTGCAACAACCATGTACATAAAACAACCCCACAACTCTATACTCCAATACTAGCCTATAATGATCAATTACTCACAAGTAGTTGTTAATATTTCTTTCTTGTCCCCTTTTTATCATGCACATGCACCTTAATGATGTAACAAATGATTCCAGACTTCCAGTTACTTTATTTTATGCATCGCTTCTAGAAAACCAATACCAAGAAATGGCAAGGAAGCTAGCAACCTTCCATGGGTTGGCATTTTCATCATTAGCAAACATTCATTCTCAATGCCCCTCCTACATATGTACAAAGTCTCAACTCAATTCTCATGTAAAGCCCAAAACTGCAGTAAATAATGACTCAATGGTACTTAAAACTAGCCAACCCTGCTTGCCAAACTTCACTTGATAAATAAAAATACATTAATAGTATTTGGTGAACAAAGATGCACACTAGTTTTTGCTGAGAACGGGATCAGCTTGCAATTACATACATAAAGATGAAACTAAATTCTCAGACAGATCACACATTAGTACTGTGGCCGCAGGATCACATACAAACTCAAACCACAATCATAAATTGAATTT